CTATATATATATATATATATATATATATATATATATATATAATGGTTAACTCTTAAAATAAGTATTTTGAATTTCCAACATGCAATTAAAATTTTCAATTGTTTGTATCACTGTTACTAATAACATTTGAATTTTTATTATATTTTGTTTGTAGTCTCATAACTGAAGATGAGATTATGAGTGTAGATATTATATTATGAACCGCATATATATAAATTATTGTTACCAAAGACATAGTAGATTCATGGAGTACTTTTTTAAGTTTTATAATTTGAAACATCATTTTATATGTATATTGTGTAGTTCATTTATACTTGGTAGATATTTACATAATCGTCACCATTGTCTACCGTGAACAAAGACATCATATAGTTAAGGGTGTTCACGATTAGTTTATTTAAATAGCCTAACGATAATCATTTAATAACCACTTATGAATGTGATTGTTATACTCGAACCATAACCACATTGATTTGATAAAACCGGTTAATTATGATTTTTAAATAATATATTATATATTCAACATTGGTTATATAACCGGTTATAATTAACTAAATTTGATTATATAAATGGCTATAATCAAAACAAGTTTTGAAAGAAAAAAAAAACAAAACTAATTCTATACTTAAAACACTTTTACAATTGTTTGTATGTTTTAATAATTCTTTATATATAAATTAGAATAATTATCTTGAATGAGATCGATAAACCTTATTTATTATCTAAATTATTATTATTTATTTATTGTATATAATTTTTTGTATTAAGGTTCAAATGTTGGACCTCTATCCTTTTTAGGTTAACTTAGTAGTTCTTAATCTTATTTTACTTTTGAGCTAAAATTAGGCATGACTTACATCATTATAGATAAAGTGCATCTAACAACATTGATACTCCAAGATCTAATAATCATTTGTAGCATACAATGATAAAAAAATAAAAATAAAAAATAAAAAGGAGAAAAATATTGAAAGAACTACAAATGATGAGGGGACTAGACTAACCTATAAACAAGAGTTAACAAAACCTATAAAAAGGAAGACCATAATGGTTTCTAAACAAACCTTCACTTGAGAACCTTGGGAAAGAATTCCACCATCTATACACTATATATCTTATGATGAAGCCCATACTTAGCTAGCCTATTCACACAAGTATTCCCTTCTTGGTAAATATGAGAAGCAAAAAGACTCGTAGTTAAACAAAGATGACAACGACGCAACTATCTATTACGAATCTTCCAAGAAACTATAAACACAATCTTAAGAGTTTTTAAAACAAGAATAGAATCACATTCCAACCAAAGGTTGACCTAACCCATCCCATGAACCTTTTCAATAGCCAACAAAGCAACTATCAGCTCAACATGAAATGCTGATTTAATACTGATATATGTAGAGAAGCCATCTAGGAACACTCTACTATGATCACGAAAAATACTTCCACTAGTTGCATGACTTGGGCAACCCTACCCTGTGTCTCTGTATTACATTTAATAAAGCTAGGGGTTGGTGGATGATAGTCAACTAATTGAACTATTTGTTGCTACTTTTGGGGGCGAGGCAAATCACCTTGCTACTTCAACAGAGTCACATGTGATCATGAGGCATCATTCTCTACTAAGGCTCTACTAGAGAGCAAAAAGGATAAAATAACCAAAGAAATAGCTTGAGCTAGGCTTGTGTTGGCTTTAAGTGTTCTTATTCATTATTTATAAAGACTAATAATACTAATATTTAATAATTAACAAACTATTATATTAAATAAATCTGTGATTGGGATTCAAACACTAAGAAACACATAAAAGTTCTAAAACAGAGAAAATATCAATATACAAAGTCGTTGGGATTGATTAAGTTTCATATATCCCACTCTTATGCATTCCTACGATTCCTTTATATTTAACTTCTGTTATCCAATATCATTGAATTCACTAAGTTCATTCTAAATCAATTTCTTGAATTTAGAAATTCTAAGGAGTCAAACTTAATAAATGATTTCTTACCTTATCAAGTTGGAGAGCTTGCTTGACAAATAAGAATTTTTTCAACTAATAGTTCCAAATTTATTTCTAACCTTTGAAACTGTTAAGTGATTTGATTCAAAACTAGATTTAGAAAGTGTTTTTCAATCGAAATCCAAATCAAAAATCAAAGATAAGTGACCAATTTATATCAACATTGAGAATAGAATCAAAATCATAATACTGAATGACAAACCATTATATATATGGATCAAAAGGAATACATAAGAGTTTGATGATTACATTTAATCCCAACTACAAAAGAAGATTAGCTCCTCATGATGAAGAGAACCAATCTATAAACCAAAGAGAATAGGTGTAGAAGAAGATAATAAACCCTTAGAACCCCAGTTCCCAGTTGCCTCTTGGACCTTGGAAATCTTTCTTCAACTCTTTCCTCTATTGTCTCTATTCGTGCTCTATTTTTTCTCCTCTTCTTTTCTTTTTCTCCCCGTCTTTTCCTTTTTAAATGTCAGTCAAAATAAAACAGAATATGGAAGAGAGAGAGCAAATGGATCAGCCATTTCCAAATGATTGTGCGCCTAAGAGATCTTCAGGGTGAAGTACCTTGTAGTGGTTGAGCCCCTGGACCAACGATTAAGCACCTAGAAGCTCCAAAAATTCTGCCTCTCATGCCATAAACTCTCAACCCTTTTTCAACTGCTGAGCGATTTTGGGCTTTCTCCTACATTCTTCTTGGCCTCCAAACCACTCAGCCTTTTTGCAATTGCTGAGCGATTTGGGTCTAAGCAATAGCTTTCATCTTTTCTACATCTGCAAAACAAAAACACCCCAAAATTTAATAAAAAATTTCATCAATTCTCAACAAAAAGTCTTACTTCATATTCTTTTGATTCTATTTACAAGCTTAGGGATTTAATTAAAAAATTCATGCTAAAATAACTAGATAAGTGTCAAAATTAATTAAACTAATTACATAAATTTGAAACTTATCAAAGGTCCAAATACATTTTGTCATTCCATCAAAATCGACTATAGTTTTATTATAATAATTACCATTTTTCATAAATAGTTAATTTGCAAAAATATTTTTAATTAATCAATTATTATAAAACCAGTGAATTATGATTATGGTTAACTTTTTCATAATCGATTCTTTTAATGAGCCATACATACAAAAACAATGCGCAAAATTCTTCATTGAGACTACTCAATGTTTATTAGTTTATTAATTATTAGCATGTTTGGCAATTTAGGTTGTATATGATTATGTTAGGATGTATTATTTAGTTAATTTATCTTCTTACTTGGATCATTTTGAGATACTACTTCATGTGTACTAGATGTTTTATATTATATTATATTATATTATATTATATTATATTATATTATATAATATATATATATATATATATATATGTATGTATGTGTGTGTGTACAAATTTGGTTCATAAAAGACTCATTGACTATTTGGGGTTATATGTTATTTGTCCAGCAATTGTATTGTAATTAATGTTTTTTTTTTTTT